CCATTTTGCCTTATCATAATTTTGTTTAGTCTGAACAGATCGCTGGACATCCTGGTGGGATATATACCCATGGATTTAAAATTCAAATACAAATGGGCCCAAATGCTTGCCCTTGAGAAATATTATCACTTCTTATTGTTTTATTCCAGACTTTGTATTCTAGATTTTACTCCATGCTAGGCAACAAAACAAAGGCAACTTACACCTAATTTCTGCCCCAAATTTCTTTGCCTATTTGACTTTGGATGTTTAACCATGGATTGTGAACTTTAGCTAACTAAAACATTACCCCCTGAGTGGAAAATTTAGAATCCCCACACTAGATGTAGACTTGAGGGTGCATGAATGTCCACTGACCACAGACAAGCCAGTGAAAAGTTAATTAAGTAATTCAGAACCAAATAACAGGGCCACCAGCATGCATAGAACCAATAGCTTGGAAACTTAGTTATTCATTACCCTTGAAGTTTGTATTGACAAAAAATGCATCTTCATGGCTGCTTGGCATCCATCTACTTCCTTATTATAAACTGAGAGGATTGTTAGGACTGTCTAATAGCAAAGTTAATGAAACTAAGAAGTTAGTTTTCCTTAATTCTGAAAGATGGAGTCTAGGGACACGACTACACAGAGTATACAGCTAAGACCTAGTAGTCTGAAATTCAACTCACTGTGTTTAGCTCTCTCCATGAATTGTCTTCAACTGCTCTAAGATTGAGCATAATACATATCGATCCCTTTACCTCCCAGGGATTTTTTTTTTTTTTTTCATAGTGTAATGAGCTGCTTGAGTAAAGTTCCTTAGAGAAGGCTACTGCTAAGATACAGCACTTCAAAATGCATGGAAAAAGAAATCAATCTCGGCCTTATCAAATAAGATGAGTCCACAGTCACATACCATTTCTTGGCATCTTGAGGAAAATCACACTTTTGGGGGGTTTTGTTTAAATCAAGGAAGCATTAAAGACTTGATCCCCTTTCCCCCATTAGTCCCAAGAAGATAGCAGCAGGGAAATCACAAGAGTGGAAATGCCCAGGTAGAAGAAAGCCAGGGGCTGTGCGTGCATGCTAATGCCTCGCCCAGGATGGCTCTGCAGGGGAAATGAGAGGCTGCATTTATTCCACCTACACCTCTCTATAGCTCTAGTTGTGCCAAGCTGCGCTGCCCAGTTGTCAGTTCCTAGAGGGAAAGGAGGCTGCCTGTTAGCTTACTTAACATCAAAGTGAAATTCACTACATTAGTCACATGAGCTATATTTTGATGCTTCCTTTCAAATGTTTCAGAGAGTCTCCAGGTTTGTTTCTGTTTCACTGACTTATTTAAAAGCCCACACACCTAATATATTAGCTTTGGTGTCTATTTCAGAACCAAAAAGAATGCCTGAGTTCAGAAGGAGTTGGCAAGTAAACATAATTCTTTCCAGCTTCTGCCTCTCAAATTAATTCCTTGCATTGGAACATGTCCTAGACCAATGCTTTCCTGATGTTAAGGTGCACACAACCCCATGGGGATTGTGTTAAAATGCAGAGTCTGACTCAGTAGCTCTACATTTCTAAACAACTCCCAAAGTGATAGCTGAACTGCTCGCCCACAGACCTTAGCATGAGGAGTGGAGCCATATTGTTACACAGGGGTGCTATTCTTTAAAGGTCTTAGAATATTATAAAGGAAAAAAAAATAAAGGACAAGAAAAAAGTAACCAGGCAATGAAGGAAATATAGGAAGGTCTGGGTTTTCAGACAGTAAGTGAACAACAAATAATTTACTACCATGGAGCAAAACACTCCAAATTGAAGGTATGGTGATGTGATGGGCTTGGATCATTTAAGCTATGTACTATAAGAAAACAGAACTAGTAGAGAAAAGCAGTAACTGCTCTGAACATGGATTCCATTTCAGGTCCCAGATGGATAGAGATTTTCACTCTCTCATGATTCTTCAGGTAATGAGAAAAAAAAATACTCCTAAAGTGTGACATAAATGGCCTTCAAGAGGCATTAGTGTTTAAAGAGTAAAAAAAAATGCTTTACTTCAAGGTTATTTGGGTTGGGAGGAGTGTTTCAAATTAGCGGGAATGGGAATAACAAAGTGTAAGGCAGAATTTTCCTTCTTAAGTGGGCCAGTTGATGAACTATTCAAGTCTGTTTATAATCATCCAAATGTTCTAAGACATGAGGATGTATTACAGCATTAGATTGGCTTGAATCTTGGAAGGAAATGTCAGAAGGAATCTTCCCTGCTCTGTTTCCTTGAGGTGAGAAAAGGACTATTGGATGGATATGGAAGGAGGAATTGGTCTCTCTTTACCTTTGGGTAAAAGTGTTGAAGACTTGGGTTTAATAAAAGCAAGCACTTGACAGGGAGTCAGAATGTCTGAGTTCCAGGGACAATGCCTCTATTAACTAGCTGTTGGACTTTTAGAGAGCAACAGCTCTCTAAAGTTTCTCTATTGACAGGATTAATCAAAACTAGTGTTTCTCAAAGTGTGACAGGATGTTAATTGAAGTTATGTGGAAAAATGCTGTCTGTGGTCAAATGAGGTATGCAGATTTTGGGTGAGGTACACTTAAACAGGTTTCATTAGAAGCAAGCTTCTTGGGTTCTTTACATGGAGCCTCTGAATATGGAGAGCAGGATTTACCACACTTGTTTGATTGTGGAACCCTTTTTGTTGTTCAGTCACTAAGTCATGTCTGACTCTTTGTGACCCAACGGATTGCAGCATGCCAGGCTTCCCTTTCCTTCCCCATCTCCTGGAGTTTGCTCATATTCATGTCCATTGAGTCAGTGATGCCATCCAACCACCTCATCCTCCGCTGCCCTCTTCTCCTTTTTACAAAGACATTATCAGAGAAATGCAAATCAAAACCACAGTGAGGTACCATTACATGCCAGTCAGGATGGCTGCTATCCAAAAGTCTACAAGCAATAAATGCTGGAGAGGGTGTGGAGAAAAGGGAACCCTCTTACACTGTTGGTGGGAATGCAAATTAGTACAGCCGCTATGGAGAACAGTGTGGAGATTCCTTAAAAAACTGGAAATAGAACTGCCATATGACCCAGCAATCCTGCTGCTGGGCATACACACTGAGGAAACCAGAATTGAAAGAGACACATGCACCCCAATGTTCATTGCAGCTCTGCTTATAATAGCCAGGACATGGAAGCAACCTAGATGTCCATTGGCAGACGAATGGATATGAAAGCTGTGGTACATGTACACCATGGAATGTTACTCACTACTAAAAAGAATACATTTGAATCCATTCTAATGAGGTGGATGAAACTGGAGCCTATTATACAGAGTGAAGTAAGTCAGAAAGAGAAACACCAATACAGTATACTAATGCGTATATATGGAATTTAGAAAGATGGTAATGATAACCCTGTATGCGAGACAGCAAAAGAGACACAGATGTAGAGAATAGTCTTTTGGACTCTGTGGGAGAAGGCGAGGGTGGGATGATCTGAGAGAATAGCATTGAAACATATATATTATCATATGTGAAATAGATCAGCAGTCCAGGTTCAATACATGTGAGAGGGTGCTCAGGGCTGGTGCACTGGGATGACCCAGAGGGATGGGATGGGGAGGGAGGTGGGAGCGGGGTTCAGGATGGGGGACACATGTACACCCATGGCTGATGCATGTCAATGTATGGCAACAACCACCACAATATTATAAAGTTATTAGCCTCCAATTAAAATAAATAAATTTTAAAAATTAAAAAAAAATAAATTCCTTTGCTAAAGAGGGCCTAATCAGTACTGGCTTTTTGACCTCCCAAAATGCCACTCTTTTCCTTCCTTTCTTCCCTCCTTCCTCCCCCCTCTTTCTTTCCTTTTCTTTCTTATTATACCATTGGTAAAGTTTGCTTTCCGTTTATAGGTATTACAGAGTCCTGGCTCTATTCCCCATGTTGTACAATGCATCCTTGAGCTCATCTTCCACCTAACTGACCCTGTGTGCCTCCCACTCCCCCACCTCTGTATTGCCCCTCCCTCTTCCCCTCCCCGCTGGTAACCGGTAGATGGTTCTCTATATCTGTGAGCCTCCATTTGTATCCTATTCTCTACTTTGCGGTATTTTAGATTCTATAAGTGATATCACACAGTATCTGTCTATCTCTGTGTTATTTTGCTCAATATTCCACCTCCCATGTTGCTGCAAATGTCAACATTCCATTCTTTTGATGGGGCAGCTCCTCTGTATGCCTTTTTAGCAAATGGCACGGCCACCCCACACACGACACAGCTCCCCAGCTAAGTTTCCATCTCTGCACTCACTCAGAGAAACACCAAGGCCTCTTCCTCTTCTCCCATGGGAAGTGTGTCTTTGAAGCTCGGTCTGGAACCAGTTCTTCCCCCTACTTTCTGGCAACCTGGACCTCCTGGTCCCATCTCCAACTCCACAGAAGCAGTCCCCTTCCCTCTTCACACACTTATCCCTTCCCTGCCCTCCCTGCCCCCCACTATCAGAGAACTCAGAGACAAACATAATTTCACATCAGGTTGATTTTATTTCATTAATGTATGCAGTTGCTGTAATAATCAGGATATGTACTGTTAGCCAGTACTCAGTGGTGAGACCCCTGAGGATTTCTGAGGCCTCTAGCCATGCCCCGAAGTCACTGGCTGTCCACTGGTCCACCTGGAATGGGAGGGGTCTCCACGGTCTCCGGGACCTCCTCTGGTTCGCTCCGGGCAGGTGGGATGGCAGGGGTCTGCACGATCTCCGGGACCTCCTCTGCTTCGCTCCGGGCAGGTGGGATGGCAGGGGTCTGCACGGTCTCCGGGACCTCCTCTGGTTCGCTCCGGGCAGGTGGGATGGCAGCGGTCTGCACGATCTCCGGGACCTCCTCTGCTTCCTTCTGATTCAGCTGCTCATTAACATTGAAATGCCTGCTACAGAGCTTTGAACCTCGGATTTTCTTAAGCTTTTTTGTGGTGGCATTCTGAGTTTTCTTGGGCAGCTTTGCCGGAATGGGCGAGTTGACCCTTACGGTTCCCCTGGCCACCTGGAGAAAACAAGAGAGGCAGTAAAGAATGGCACTGGTTTAGGGAAGAGGGTGAAGACGGGTGGGAACGATGGCTTCAGGAGAAGGGGTGTGGGCAGAGAAGGGTTATGTGCCAGGCAGGGACAGGGGAGGGGGTCTTTTGGGGTGGGGTCGATGGGCAGGAGGAGTTTGGCTGGGTTCAGCTCACCTCGACATTTTTTCTGGACCTTAATTGATAGGAGGTCTTCATCTTCTCCTGGGTAACAGGAGGTTGGTGTTCCATAACTAACTAGTCTGGAGGCTTCTGACTTCCCAATCACCTCAGTCCTTTGAAGGACTCCCAGTGGTCTGCTCAGAGCCCCTGAGCACCCCGGGGGCCTCACCCTCATGCTTTATGAGGTCAGCAAGTCTCTGCCCCAGCCAATGGTGGCCCTGGGTGAGCCTTGACATCACAAAGCCCCATCCTGACATGTCTTTCGGGGGATGGGGAGCAATTCAGATGATTTGGTGGGAGAAATGAGGCATTTGTAATGCCCCTAATTAAGGTAAATAAATTAATTAAGGAAAACAAAGTGTGTGCTAATTTAAAAGGAAAACCATTGGATAAACTCTTATATGGTGCTGGTGGTGGTGAAGTGTTATAGATATCACAACCATATAACCATTCATCCATACATCTATCCATGAACTTAGTAAATGCTCAGTGTTTTACCTGTCACTGGGACTGTTAGGGTGATGTTCCTTTTCCTCCAAGTCTAGCAGAAAGGAATATAAGAAAGTGGTTACAACCCCTTGTGAGTAGAAATATATTCCAAATGCTTCAGAAGCACAAAGAGAGAAGTGATATCTTGGTCAGTAGAGACAATTTTAAGCTGTGCAGAGAATGTGAAAATTCTTTTCATTAAATGGAGCCAGTGATTTTGTGTATTAATCATTTAGCCTTATTTTTATGGTGTACCTGGAGAATTCCGTGGACTGTATAGTCCATGGGGTTGCAAAGAATCGGACACGGCTGAGTGACTTTCACTTAAGGATTTTTAAAATTTTTTTGAAACATAAGATTTGTTGATTAAACATAGCAATAAGGTCCAATGGCATTTTGTCATTTTGATGTGTTGTGCTAATCAGGATATCAAAATTTTACCAGGATCCATATTCTTGAGTTTATTTCTGCTACTTGGAGGTAAATTCAGATGAGTCCTGTGTAAATCACTATGTCAGATTTATAGAGAAGGGAAGCTTGTAAAAGCGTTTCTTGTGGTCATTAAATGCCCTTTTTGTCTTCTGCCTGGCTTGCTATATTGATGGTCTAACCAACACATCAAAGAAATTTATGGGATTGTAGCTTTGATCTCACTTGCCCAGAGAATCAGAAGGGCATGGGGAGGAGAGCATCTGAGTACTGAAACAATATCTTTACATATTTCCACAAATAAAATATTTGGTGTTTCAGTAGGCAAAGTTGTGTATACTTGACTCATAACGAAAGGGAATGGAGGGAATGGAAAGCCCTGAATTGAAAGTCAAAGAACAGTTAGTTAGTTCTGTTACTCTTTGACATTGGGCAAGTATGAGCCATTCCAAAGCAGTCACTGAATATCTCAATCTCTTTATCTGTTTATCCCACAGCCACTCAATTGCCATGTGCTCAGGATTCCCCCAGTGTTTGCAGTCCTTTCCAGGGCTCTCACTTAGTCATTCTCTCAGTTACTTTAGGGCTTCCCTGGTAGCTCAGCTGGTAAAAAATCCGCCTGCAATGCAGGAAACTCTGGTTCAATTCCTGGGCTGGGAAGATCCCCTGGAGGAGGGCATGGCAACCCATTCCAGTATTCTTGCCTGGAGAATCTCATGGACAGAGGAGCCTGGCGGCCTACAGTGCATGGGGTCACAGAGAGTCAGACACAACTGAGCGACTAAGCACAGAACAGTTACATTAAACAAACGACAGTGACAAATAGTCACCTATAATAAATCAACAATAACTCCCCAACATCAGTATTAATAAAACCCGAATACGGCAGTGTTTAGGGCCACAATCCAAGGTATCCAGGAAGGTAGAGAAGTGGTTAAGGAAGATGAAAAGTTTAGTCAACATAAGGGCATTCTAACTTGGACCATATTTTCTCTTGCTACATCTATGACATATTGCGAGATTACAGGTTCTTGTAAAACACTCTCTTAAGAATTGAACTTAAGCTATGTATTCAGGTGGGAGACAGATTCATGTGGGAGCAAGGTCAATTAAGACCTACACATTACAAAGGAAAAAGTCCAGAAGAAAATGTATAGGTAAACAGCCTAACTGTGGCCAGTTCTTAATAGTAAGCCTCTCCAAAGTCTCTTGATGGGAACATTTAGGAAACAGACGAATTGCCTCTCAGTTCCAACTGCGGGCTTGCAGTGAGGGGCCTGTCTGCATTTGCAGAGCCATAGACAGTGGTTTAAGGGACAAGCAAGTGGAAGTAGACCACAGACATCTCCCCTCCCACAGTCCAGGGCCCTCCCGCTGCACCTTGGACCTGTCCTCAGTGTGATGGTGAGCCCTTGATTTGTCCTGGCTCCTCGCAACTTCCTTTAGTTTCTCTAAAATCTAAGTGGCTTGTGCACTCCCCACCCCCAACTTCTCACCATGTTCTTCTCTTCCTAGTCCCACTCCAGGTTATTTACTTCTCTATTATGTCTGTTGTTGAGGCCTTTGCCTCCTCTCCCTAGAGTGTGATCTCTTTGAGAAAATCCATCTTCACCTGGTTGCCATCTTCATTTTGGTCACTAAGTGGTCAAGAGAAATTTGTTGAATTAAGCTTAATTAACTCTGATCAGATGAAAATGGAAAGGTTTGAACTGGAAAAGATCTTGCTACCAAGAAGCAAATGGAAAAAAGTACATATCAAAAAAAAGTTAACTAAAATGTGTTTGATATTAAAAAATAAATTATAATGGTGTGATGTGATAAGTCATAAATTATTAATGTGTAGATGTTTCCATTCTCTCTGCTCAAGTTTATTCAAAGTGGAAAGAAGTTTACCTCAATTGGCTGAGAGTTTCTTAGGGGTTTTTGGATTAAACCAGAGACTAGGTAGGAGAAGATGAAGCCTGAGGGCTTGAGTCATGGGGGCCAGGAGAGACATGGTAAAACAAGCCGCATAAAAGGCCATAGGGCAGAAGAAGGGTAGTGGACTAAGAGGATAGAAGGGGAATATGATTCCTGTTTCTGAGGGTTTGTACTTGAATCTGGTTTGACGTTTGCAAGATGTGTAGTCAGATACTTTAGAAATTAGATTGAAAATGAAACATTCTATACATTATTCTGTATGTATGAACTGTGTAGATTCAGGATTCATGGAGATTATAATGAATAAAAGAGGTACCTCCTCCTCATTCCTTCTCCCCAGTGTAATCTTCTCTTAGCAGTTGGTTTTGCTAAATCTCTGTCATTTTATTTTCACAAACCTTATATTTTAAATCTTTCTTTGCACAGAATGTAAATATGTACACAATATTTTTAAAATAACAATGTCCTCAAACTGTATGTATTGTGTTACAACTTTTTTCATTCAATAAAACATTATGGGTATGTCCATGTCAGTAAAATCTGACAAACATTCTTTTTGATGACTACATAACACTTATTACATAACATAAAAAATATTAAACAATCCCATATTGATGAGTATATGAGGTGATTCTGTGTTTTATTATAACAAATAATTTAATGATCATTCTTACATATTTTATCAGTTATGCATTGTCTATTCAAATGACTCCTATGAGGTATGGTTTAAATAGCAAATAAAACTTATTTGGGAGTAAATTGCTTTCTTTCTTTTTTCTTCCTTTTTGCAACTGTGTAAGTTTAATTTCTCATGCTTATTTTTAGAAAAAAAAATTTGATACTATAAAATTCTTTGAAGCAAAGAATACAAATATCATACAGTAATTGTATGATAAATTTAATGTGTACATAATGAAGACAGGCATTTATTTTAATTACCCAAATTTTGGCAGATGTCCCTTCTGCTTTCATTTGTCAATTAGTTACATTACTGATCATGGTATTTTTGAACAGAGCATAATTTAGTCTCATCAGCATCACTGAAAAGAGTCAAAATCAGGGTTACTATTTTTAGTTATTTCTCTGGTGTCATTTCTTATCTTTGTTGTAAATGGAATATATTAAAAATTTAGATCATAAATTTAGATTTGAGTATACTATCCTGGGTTATGCATTAATGATACATTTTAACAGGTGGTGAAATGTTCAAACTGCCCTCCCCTCATCAAGCCTTTGTTGGGGCCTGAGCTCTTCAAAGAGAGTAAATTTCCAGGTATGATCACTGAAATTTAATTTTTTACAGGCTCAAAGTGTTTAACCATTTTAGTGAAAGTTACCCCAAATTAATATTAGTCACCTCCTACAGTATTAGTTTTCTGTTCTGAGTAACTATAAGCAAGGGCCTAAAACAAATGGGTCAGGAATCCAGTTGTGGGTTTGTTGGGTCCTCTGCTTAGGGCATCTCCAGCTGCCATCAAGAGGGTGGAAATCATGGAGGTCACCTTAGATTTCTGCCTTCTCAAATAGACCATATTGTACTGCATTTAATATTTCTGAAAATGCACAAATAGTATTATGAGTATCCATTCTTGTACTTTGCTATTACACAGATATTAGAATTATGCTAGAGAACAGTTCGAGATTAGCTTTTGATTCATGGTGACAGGTCTTCTGCCTCTGCTTTATCTTTGCTTTCAGGTTCATTTCCAGAGGCCTGAATTTACTAGACTGTTTATCAATAGACAAGTAAGAAATTCTTGTTCTCGGGCTGGTAGAAAAGAATGTCCACTTCCTCTCAGAGTATTTCTACAAGTCCTTCCTGTTGTCTTGCTCTCACATTTCAAATCCTCCCTAGCAATGCAGTCAGGGCCAGTAAAATGAAATTATACAGGGAGCACAGAGGGTGACATCTGACATACACAAGTAGAAATTACTTCAAAAAATACCACTGCAAAACAGAAGAATCATATTTTATATAAGATTCAGTCATCAAATAAAATGACTAAGCCCATGAAGAGTAAATAGGAGAATAAATGCCAATAAATAAAAATGGTATACTGTAGTATGGTATATCATTTTTAATGTATGTATACTGTAATATGGTATATCATTTTTAATGTATTTGATTCACAAATAATTTTTATAAACTATAATACACAGGGGTAACATAGTATTGGTGGTATAAAAACACATTTTACCTCCAAAGGAGTGTGTCTTTGGCTCAATATTGCTGGAGAATGGAACAAGTGTGCATTTTTTAAATGTCCATGCCTTCTGATTGAATAATTCAACCTGGGAGTTCGTTTTAAGGAAATAATCAGTCATCCAGCCAAAGAA